TCTGCACACCTGCACCAGAGGGGTGAGCAGATCAGACAGAGGTGCCGTCTGTCCCCCAGTCTGCACGCCTGGCTGTGTCTGCTGCTGAGCAGTGGAGCTTGGTAAAGGGAGTTATTGAATTCGAGCAAGAGTAAAGAAACAGTCGACCACTAAAGGCTGTTGAAGTGCTGTCTGTGAACTTGTCAGGGGGCCTCAGCTGCTGAACAGCTCTTGTTCCATTTTAGAGGAAGGTTGTCTGTCACTCCATTACTTCAATGCAATGAAAAATGAGGAGCGTTAGTCATTTTTGTAGATGCACAACACCTTGACTGATGGTGGAGAGAAAAAAAACATTAAGCATTGTTGTCGTCGGCTGCAGTGTAAATGATTTAGAATGGTTCTCCCCAGCCCTGACATGTTTATTGGAACAACATCCTAACAGCAGTCCCACATTAGGAATTAATTAGCTCGCAGGTTTGTGCATAAATTTTTATCGAAGAGCTCTGCTGTAAATATTTGATCCAGCGAGTGCAGCGTCTTCGCAAACCCTTTCTTTAGCATTTTGTGCAACTTTATGGATGCATACCGCAAGGATTCGTCTGTTTACATCCATTTGGTTACATAAACGAGGCTTTTGTTTCCGATAAATGTAAAGCAGTTTTCTTGTCCTTCACTGCGGATCTTTGGAATCCTGAAATGTTCACGAAGTCAGTTTTTTTTTGTGTGCTTGTGCCGGTGGTTCATGATCAGAGATAGCAGCACAGAAGAGTAAAGATCAGCAAATTAGAGGTGCAGATTGGCGACATTTTCCTTTTTCCAGTTCTCTTCTTTCCATGTAAATTGCTAACCTTCCATTAAATTACCACCCCAGTGGAGTCATTTGTTTTGGACAATTATTTTAAATGCCACAAGGAATTGTTCTCCTGGTGACAGATTTTTATTGCCTGAATTTGACTAAGTAGTATTGAGGTGGTTTTCATTAACTGTTCATAGTGTACATACAAACTGTGCTTTCACTGTCAAACAGCTGGTCTGAAAGTCCTGAGAGGGAGAGTAAGCATGTGAAGGCAAGCTTTTACATGACTCTCATGGATCGACTTCCATTAGAATGAATGCTGGTACTGTTTCTGCCTCATTAAGATCAAATTATCTTTAATTAGCTACTCAGATGTGTTTGATAATACAGTGCTTTCAGACCCAGATCTTGAAAAGGGATCATGCACGCTCTTAACAATATTGATGCAATATGTTAATGTTTAACTGATTTTTAAAATATATGCAATTTGAAAAAAAGTCTCCCTTCCCTCTGTAGAAATTAATTTAGATGGCTAATGGAAGCTGTCAGCGTGCGTGGTAAAAATAAAGGCTTGCCTGGCTTATTTTTTCAGCCTTTCTCAATTGCAGTCCCTCGAACATTATAAAGTTATTAAAAAGCAGGTTTGCTTTTTTTCACTGGAAGCTTTCAGGAAGCGTTGATTTCGGTTAAGGAATGGCCGAGCCCCGGGCTTGGTGGGGGAGAGCGCTCTGTACATTACGTTGTGCCGATCTGCTTTTTTTAAGGGCACCCATCGTGTCTGAAGTTCTCGCCCGAGCTGACTGCAAACGTGAAGGCATTGCGATGGCAGTGTATCGAGTGCAAGACCTGCAGTTCCTGTCGGGTTCAGGGGAAAAACGCTGTAAGTTGCGATCACAGGTGTTGATCATCAATGTTATTTATTAGGCTAAGCATTTAAATATTTGAAAGAATGATCTGGGTGTAATAGATACTCATTGCCTCTCATGGTAAGTGCAAGATTCTGTTCCTTATACTTATAAAAGTAATAAGAGGCAGTCTTATTGGCGGGAAGTCGGATCTGATGCCATTTATTAAAAAATGTAGCCTGATGTGACATGCAAAAAAAATCTGTATCTAATACGTTCATATCATAACCATATTGTATCCCTTTGAATGTGTTAGGAGTGTTTTGTTGGAGGGGGGGTGATAAAAATGAACAAATCTTGAAAATGCTTAAAAAGATTGTTGTGTTTTTTGTTAGGAAGACATGCTGTTTTGCGATTCCTGTGATCGCGGGTTCCATATGGAGTGCTGTGACCCCCCACTTTCAAGAATGCCAAAAGGTATTGTACTCGCGTAGTGACAGCACTGCCTCAGCAATACAGTTTCTCTGCAGCAGGGCCCTCCAACTCGCTTCCTGGAGAGCCCAGTGTCATCTGGTTTCTGTTCCACCCATAATTGTTCTCAATTTAATAGTAGGTCTAATTGTTTAATTAGCTGCATAATTGTAATACTTCTAACCAGGCTCTCGGGCAATTTATAGGTAGCTCTACCTTTTAACAAAGCGAATGTCTTGTGTAATCAACTGTCGAAGACCTTAAGAAAAATCTCATACATGTCTAATTTAGACAATAATTAGGTTAATTGTATAGTTGACTACTGGAAGGCACAGGGCCCTCGAGGAACTGAGTTTGTGACCTCTGCTCTAGAAAGGCCTGTGGTTTCTGTCTCCTAGGACAGCATAGAAAGATGTCTTCATAGAGCTTTTTTCTGTTTCCTATCATTGTGCACATATGGAATATTCGAGGTTTTATGTTAAAGCTTGTGCTGCGTCGAGGGAAAAAACGACCTGCCGAAAAGAAATTACGTAATCGGGTTGGACAAAAGCTATGCGCAGGAAGGCGAAAGTATCCATCTTGATAGGGCAGTTGCAAAAAAAAACAACAGATATATGGAAAGTTACATCCTGACGTTGGATCGCATTTGTGCTCTGTTTAGCATTTAAAAAAGTAGAAATGTGTCCCTAGCAGCGGCAGAGTTTCCTGAATCGCTTTCCTTCCAACTCTTCCCCAGGTCTGTGGGTCTGTCAGGTCTGCAGGCCGGAGGACAAGGGGAAAAGGCTGCTGCACAAAAGAGCCGCCCAGATCAAACGGAGATACGCCAAGCCAATAGGAAGACCCAAAAATAAGCTCAAACAGCGAACAATGTAGGTTATTCTCCACCTTCTGTCCTTAAATTTCTAGACTACACTTAGAAGGTTCGGCTGAATTCATTTGTACCATTAGCACTTCTGTTCCTTGTCCTTGTAACTCTTTGGGTCTGCTGTTCCATGCGCAGAGCAGGTGAGCACAGATAATGCACAAACACCCTCTCCCCTTGGCACAGCACCGGCACAGCTCCACATTACGTTTGGATGGGATTAAAACCACTGTGCTGTATTAACTAGGGGGTGTGAGAAAAGGTCATTGATAATATTCAAATGTACTTTAGTTTTGATCTTTGTGATGTGTTGTAGGATTGTAATGTTGGTACGTGTAATGCCTTGCTTAGGAATTAATTTTGCTCCACTTGCATCTTATTAAATCTGAAATGCTCTGTGTTGCAGATTATGTAGATAAAGGTCTTGTAAAATAAGTCCCTTCTTTTCCCTCAACCTTTCCGAAAGGGCACTTATACTCCTCATGACCTGCAGGTCTTTGCTTCCAGAACAAGTGTTTTAGAGTGAATCATGAACATATACTGGCTCTGAAGTAATAGATTTTCTCCCTTGTAGGCGAACAGATGAGCTGTTATGATCCTACTCGTTAATTAACCATTAATCTTACCGATCCTGAAGCTTATGTTGTATTAACAGTTTATCTCAGATGTCTTGAAGACAGCACATACATAGAAAGCGATTTGGTTTTTTAGATAAATTTAGACTCAATACAGAAGTCTTCCCCTGGCTTTTCATTAGCCTTAAGCCAGAATAGTAATTGCGTTACTCATTCATGCCTCCTGGAGTGCTCTTCACGAAGACCAAACAGGAGTGCTGTTTGCAGGGACCAGTACTCAAGTTTTTGATCCAAGTACCTGTGCTCTGTACTTTTCATCTTTGTCCCCTTAAGCCTCAGAATAGCATTTTCAGTCTTCAGACCTCTGTGCTTCCTTTCCTCACTGCAGTCAGTGCTGGGACGAGTCCAGGCCAGGGTCACATTGGGCTTTTTCTTCTGAGCACAGCACATTCGTGCCTACTTCTGACTGGCATCTAGCTTTCCACTGTAACGAGGGTGGAAAAAAAGACCTCCCCTCACGTGGTTCGTTATAGATGCACTGTTCCCCGATTCACCGCACTCTTGCGCACAGAGGAGCATCTTGATGTGTTAATTGATGGTGTCGGCTATTTTGACACCGAAACATTTATCGGCGGTTGCGTGTTTTTCATTTGTCAGAAGCCTGAAATCCTTGTTTGCAGTCGCTGTCGGTTGGTCGTTTTTATAGATGTAATGTTTAGGTCATGGCCTAAATATGTTTGGGTTTTTTTTATGGCCCTCTCATGCGCAACTGTAGTTCTTTCTAGTTTGGAAACCAGCCAGTCATAGGCAAAAACCAAAAGATGGCCGTTGGTTTAAACGCTGACCACCTTTCTTGACTTGCTCTTAACGTTTTTTTCGCCCTCAGGTCTGTAACCAGCGCAGAAGGAACCCTGATTGCACTGGCGGGCAGGGGGTCACCTGGTAGGGGTCAAAAGATTAAAGTCTGTACCACACCTCCATCTGGTCATGCCGCATCCGTGAAGAACACGAGCAGCAGATTGGCTGTCACAGACCCCTCTTGGGTGGCCGTCTCCACCTCCTCCTCCTCCACCACCACCACCTCCTTCTCCTCCTCCTCCACTCCTCTCCCGCCCACATCCTCCTCCACCTGTCCTCTCCCCGTTAACAAGACCACCAGGGGCCTCATCGACGGCCTCTCGAAATTTTTCACGCCGTCGCCCGTCGGCCGCAGGTCGCGGGCCGAAACGGCAGACCTCCCAAAGCACTGCCGGCCGAGGAAAAAGGGCCTCCAGAAACTGTTGTGCACTCCTCGCTCGGGCGCCACGGCGACCGGTACCTCTCCCCAGCTCACCCCCCCGCCCGCCGCGCTCCCGTCCCCTCCTCCGCGACCCGGACAGAGCCCCGGTTCCCAGAAGTCCGGCAGCAGCTCCGCCTCCGCAAACTCCCCCCAGAGCTCCTCCAGCCAGTCTAGCGCGCCTTCCCTTAGCAGCCTCTCCAGTAACAACCAGCTCAAGGGGCTGTTTGACGGACTCTCGCACATCTTTGCCGCTCAGGGACAGTCGCGGAAAAAGGCGCACCCGAGCTACGCTCCGCCCGGGCGCGTGCGGCGCGAGCCGGATTTGTCTTCCTGCCCCCAGCTCCACGGGAAGAAAGAACTGAACAGTAGGCTAGTCTCCCACTCCGCCCCCGCCCCCGGGTGGGGGGTACCCAGAGGATGCACTTTTAAGGCAGTGGTTCATTTCAAACGAACTTCCTTCCTCAGAAAGCACAGGATGCTAGGCAGATTAAAATATAAAGTGACCCCTCAAAAGGGGACCCCCTCACCAGGGAAGGGGAGCTTGGCAGCCGGAAGAATTAAGCCCGATCAGCATCATGGTAAGCAAAGGGTCACAGCGCCAACCCCACCTGCCTCCCGTCAAGTGCAAATAATCTTTGTCGCGCTCCGTCTCGGCTTTTCTTTTCCTCTCTGTCTTCTGCTCTTCCTGAACTCGCGTAGCGCAGTAGCTCGGCTTTCTCGCCCTCTCTCTAATGTCGATTAACATCTAGAATGTGTTCTCCAACTAATCCTGCGCCACCAGTTTCATTTTCCTTTTGGCTTTCTTTTGCGCCGGCAGAGGCCGCGGCACCCCCAGCGCTTTCCTAGTGCATGGCCAGCCCGCGTCTCTGCGGCTCCCCTGCAGTCGCCTTGCCCATCGCGGTCGCCTTCCAGCCGCTGCTCTCTGGGACCACCCTTCCCATTCCTCCTCCCAGAATTCCATTCTCACCCTTCCACCACCAGATTGCTTTGCTCGTTTCTCGACCAGTAACGATCTAAGCCTTTTATTGTTTGCTTCTCCCTTCTATTCCCATAACAAAAATAAATAAATAAAAGCTTTGGCCGCTTTTCAGCCTGCCAGTGGATTAAAGGGGTTAAAGGACACTTAATCCTAACAAAGGAAGTGAACTCTGAACTGTTAGCATATCTCTGTAGATGATTTTTGTGTATGTGTGTGTTATTTCAGTCAGTCCCTGGGTCTAATAACCTTCATATCTTAATAAAGTCCTCTTTAAGGTGCCATTATAATTACATAATGGGATTAGCATTTTTAATATACTCACTCTCATCGTTAATCCCATTAACAATAAAAACATTTTATTAAACTGTAGGGCGGATACATTTTAGTGTCCGAGAAAGCGATCAGAGTTTTTCTCTGGTTTTTAAATGCATAGTTTGGGTATAAATTTCAAAGCATTTAATCTGCAAATTAAGTTCATTTGCCAGGCGAAGACTGGTCCTGGAAATTGGAGTAAAGAACATGATCTTCTGTAATTTAACGACACCTGTGATTAAGAGTCAAGTGTTGGGTTTTTTTTTTTTCTTTTTTTTGCTTTTGTTTTGAGGATTTAAAAAAATTGAGGGTTTTTAGGCTTTCGTTGCTTGTTTTCTTGGGTTTTTTTTCTTCGTGGGTTCCTGGTCTGTTTGCTAATGTCTTTAGAGATTAATTTGCAATTTTAGAGCCCTCAGGCTGTACTTTTTCTTTCTTTTCAAGAGTTGTTCTGGGAAATGGAGATACAGTAGCTGTGTGTGTACTACATGTAGGAGTTGATAGGAGTATGATTCAGTGAAGTCTCCATTATTAAAGCATAGTTAACTTTTGGCACCAAACCTTGGATTTACCCAACAACTCCAAAACAATAGGATTGCAATGCATTATATAGTCTCTGAACAGCCATCCCATTGCTATTAATTAATAAAAGATGAGGTTGATTTAAAGCTAATAAACATGATTTGAGCTTGTACATCTGCTGGACTTGTTTGAGTCTTACTCCAGCGAGCTGTCTGTCTTCACAAGGGCCATGCTGGTTTCTCACATGTGGATTCGGGGAAAGTGCTGGCACACGGAGATTAGTTTAGCCTTCATCTCAGGAGACTTTTCTTAAAGTGTCCGTTTACTCCAGTTCTGATCATCCTCCTCCTGGAAGGCTAGGCGTTCTGAAAAGCGGGCTATGTGTTTGAGCGTTCCTGTAGCAAGGACTCCTTGTGTCTGTAGCATATGACTAGAATTAGCGAGGAATACAAAGGGAAGAGTCTATAGCTAAAGGCTCTTGCATATGCTTTACACATGTCTTACCAGTTGTATCTCGTTTGATGTTGGGACTGATCCTTAACGAATTTATACGAGTCTGTTACGCAAGTGGACGTTTTTTTGGAAACGCTGAAGTTCAAAGATCCTAATCGAATCAAAATGAGCCCCCCCCCCCCCGGGGGATTTTGCCCGAACCCTTCGTGCGTTTTTTTTCCGGTCTGCGATTCGTGCTCTAATGAGCTCGTCTTTTGTGAACAGAGGTGGAAGGCACGAAGAACCTGAGGCAGGAGGCCCCGGACGCGGGGGTGGCAGCGGCGCGGGAGCACGTCACGGAAGAGGACTTGGAGATGTTCAAGCAAGCCCAGGAGCTCTCGGTGCAGGTGGGGAACCACGTCGGCAAACATCGGATTGCAAGCACGCGGGAGAGTTTCCAGTTTGGTCGTTCATAGTCAATTGATCCGAGGTTCTCGCCAGGGTCACGTTTCCCCGGCTGGCTCGGTGACAAAAATCTGGCTGGTGAGATCAAGCCCTGTCCTCTAATACAGAGTATCAACACATTCGATATGGCTGTGCCAAGGGCCTGTGAATAAAAGGTTTAGCGATCCTTCCGGACGCATTCCGTGAATGAAATGGAACGTGTCCGGAAGGATCGTCAACCCCGACGCCTGGCCGGAGTCACAGTTCCCAAGAGCACCCGTCCTTTGCCGTGGGGGAGATGCGCTGTGCATCAGCCTTCAGCTTTTCAAGGCCTTTCTGACTTGAAGGTGGAAATTCGTGGGTTTTCTGTATGTTTATTGTACCCTTCATTTAAACACGAGTGAAGCATTGCCCTCCGTCTACCTTTCACTTGTTGAAAACCCTCTTAAAAAATCCTTTGTTACTTTCTCAGAACACCAGCTACTCAGGCGGTGCCGACTGTGGCCGCTACCCAGCGGTTATCGAGTTTGGGAAGTATGAAATCCAGACCTGGTACTCCTCGCCTTATCCGCCTGAATACTCGAGGTAAGAGCGCTCGGGATGTGCGATATTTCTGCGTTCCCGAGCGGCCTGTTGGGGAAAGGCTTTGGGTCACTGCTGAAGTGACATTTGCTAACCTGGCGACTTGTGTGTTTGACAGATTACAAAAGCTTTACCTGTGTGAGTTCTGCCTCAAGTACATGAAGAGCAAACACATTCTCCAGCACCACTCGAAGAAGTGTGGGTGGTTTCACCCACCTGCCAATGAAATCTACAGGAAGAACAACATCTCTGTGTTTGAGGTTAGTCGAGCGATTTTGAAACGCGTTTTATGCAATAGTGCCCTAAGTAATTAAGACATTACAAAACGTAAGGTTACAAGCATGTATGCTATTTTTATCTCAGTTTTCTTTGGAACTGTTCTACAGATTACTAGATGGTATGTACACTGTGTGTACTGGCTGTAAAAATGTGTTTATATCTCTCTGTGAAGTTCTATGAATAGAAGCTCTAATGACTCAGAGAGGAGATTGTTGTCCTGTATTTTTGTAACTGGGACCAACCTGATAGATTTTCTTTTGTCTGATTATGTTCATACATTTATCCAGTCCTGTGGTTATTTTGCTCATGCTTTTGTTTTCCACCTCTGAGACTGGAACCAGTATGAATGTTGATCTCCCAGTGAAAGAAGCTTCCACTCCTTATCCAAGACCTCAAAAACGTCTCCGAAAACATACCTCCTAAATCCCGTATCTCTCTCTTTCAGATATAGTCTTATATTAATATAAAGTTCCATTATAGACAGCTCCCTTCATCTTAAATTGGTTAGAATATGAATTACACAATAATTATCATTCTGAAGTATCCTCATATAGGACCTCATCCTCAGCTCCAGGGCAGCGTCTCTGCACAGCGGATCAGGGGGGCGAGTAAGAAATCATTCCCCGTTTTAATTAATGGGGAACTCTAGGGAGGGCTGATGGCAGAATTTGGCCAAGCTCCTGGTGATTGCACTTTCCCAAGGGCATACTGCTATCCACAGGATTATCAGTTATCAAATAGTCAGGACCTCAGTTTAAAGTTTCATCCGCACCATGTTGGTGCGTTGGCCTGGCAGCTGTGGTCCAGGGTGTACAGTGCCACCTACTGTTCCACCAACACCAATTACAGCAGCCACCTGTTTTTTTTTCTTGGAGGTCCCTCGTCGTCTGCTGAATGTATTATTATAAAATAGTATTGTGAGCTCTTCGTTTTGTTATTTGTATGTGGTAAAACAAGTGTGAGGACTTCAGTGCTGGTGAGATTTTACCCCCCATTTTTATAGTTCAATAACTTTTTTTCTAGGCTGACCATTGTGATATTATGTAAAGTTGCGATCGCTGGTGGATTGTCGCATTTTAGGGTACAAAACATAATTAAATGAAACAAAAGCATCTTTGGGGGTACTGTCTGTATGATTTTCTCAATGTCTGAACTCCTATTTCTCCCAGAGACTGGGTTGGTCCATGTCTTTGTCCATGTCTCAGGGGATTCTGAATACTGTTATCGGGTCCCCTCATAGGCTGTTCTGTTCTAGACTAAAAACCTGTCAGTAGAGGACATTCCCTTGAGCTCCGGAATGGATCTGACTGCTCTTCTTTGCTCTAGAGCTGCATACACGCAATTTGTACAAACTATTCTTAATGAGGACTTAATAGTGCACTATACAATTTGAACAATCTTGGTTTTAACATTTTCCTTTCCCTTTGTAATTGCTTCACCGATGACAGTAATGTAACATCTCTTATCAGTGACCTATAAGACGTGTGTTTTTCGTCTTGCTTCCTCTTCAGTTGGGAGGATCTCCTATGTAAGAGGATTTAACAGACAGTTGAAAGAAGGAGCACGAAGATCTGATGGGAGATAACAGGCTGTTTAGGCTGTTGTGGTCACTAAGTTTCCTATTTTTAATCTTTAAATTTACCCTAGAAATTGAGCTGCTTATCTATGTGCTCGACTAGTCTTTTTTTGACAGCTTGGAACACATGAAGAAATGTGACCTTTATTCAAAATGAAGTAAAATAAACACTCTGCACTTGTGTTGTTCTTGCCTTTAGGTTGATGGCAATGTCAGCAAGATTTTCTGCCAAAACCTCTGCCTGTTAGCCAAGCTGTTTCTTGACCACAAGACTCTATACTACGATGTTGAGCCGTTCCTCTTCTACATCCTCACTAAAAACGATGAAAAGGGCTGTCACCTGGTCGGATACTTCTCCAAGGTAAAAGCGCCCTCTTTTCGTTTAAGTTGACGAAGGTTTGGGGAGAGAAACCCCCCTCCCCTAGTGTTTTGCTTTCGGCACTGTTCTTAAGGCAGCTTCCAGAAATCAGTCCTGCCAGAGCACAGAAAGTCTAGAATACATTTCGGAAGAGAAGAAAAACAAGATTTCAAGTCCGTGAACAGCAGTCGGGTCTGGAAAGGAAGGAGTGATGCCGAAAGAGGTCTTGGAAAACCGTTTGTAATTGCAAATTTCTCTCGGTTTTTTTGTTTAGCTTCCAAGGCCACTTTGGCTTTAGTAGTTTGTTTAGCGCAGCGGAAGAAAACATTCCATTTTTTTTTCCTTTCAGATAATGAATAACGCATTGTTTTTTTGGGGGTGGGGGGGGGAGGGCTGGATGAAAATGAAGGAAATAAAAAGGTGCTGATGACAATGGCATTTGTGTACAGCTTTTCTGAAAGCGCTCTGAAATGTGCACGTAACCTTCTGTAGCACTGTCTGCATGTCCTTGTTCTAGAGGGTCTGAAGAGAGGTGGTAGAATTGTCTCGTCAGGGCCTTGTGTCACAGTGGCTGTGAGAGTGTGCGCGTGTGGTTGCTGACAAGGACAGTGCCCGTTTCTGCAGTGCTTTGACTAACTTGATCTGTTTCTCCTTCCCTCAGGAAAAGCTTTGCCAGCAGAAGTACAATGTCTCCTGCATAATGATTATGCCTCAATACCAAAGGCAAGGATTCGGCAGGTTTCTTATCGATTTCAGTAAGTTTCCTTAATGTATTTAAAACCATGATAAACTGCACTTAGCTTGATATTTCTGATGCAGACTTTAGCCATCACCGTCCTGTTCATGCTATTGATTTTTTTTCATGCGTTTTCAGCGATGCATACATTAGTGTTTCAACTCCTCGGGTTTTGTGTAGAATGTCTGCATAGCTTGGAAGTTTTTTTTTTTTCCTGGATGAGTTTGTGCATCTCGAGCTCTTCCGTTCGAGCGAGGAGGTCTTTCAGAATTCAGTCTGGAGGCAAGTGCTGTGCCGTTGCGGTGCCCCAGTGAGCCAGTTGTCTGCGAGCTGTGAAACCCTCAAGCGCCCGCAGGCTGATGGGACCTCCCTGTCCGCTTGGGAAACGCGCCGTGTCCGAGCGGCTGGCCAGTCTCGGTTAGCTGCAGCTCTCTGGTTCACTTTGGGAGGTTTTTTTTTTTTTTTTCCCCCAAGGAGGGTGGAGGGATCTGGGATGTGTGTATTTGGAGCTCTTTAATGAGGCATTTGATTTTCTCCTGTGCTGTGAGAGCCACTCAGATAGTGCAGGGGATCCTGGATATTGAGAGAGGGGAAATAACAAAGAAAGGGATTAGGAGCATTGAGTGCTATTGAGCCCCAAGGTTTGAGAACTCTTCTATTGAAAACTGGGGGCTAGCTAACGGCAGTCGACTTCAGGGATTATATCAATTTTCTTGCCTCTTTCATATGCATTTGTATCTAAAGAACAGTTTAGTGTTACAGTCATTTCACTGTGGAAGCCACTAAACTGTAATTAAAATAATAAAACTGCACTTGCTTTAGGGTGCAGGGGTGTAAACAACAGTCTTTAGAACAGTAAAGGTTCTTTTATATAGGGGGTACCCTTGCCTGAATGGGTGTCTTGTTAATTTCTGTGTAATCTGTCTGAGAATTTAGAGAAATCCACTTGTATAAATATCCTTTCCTTGTCTGGTGCAAGTGGGTTTTTTTTATAGAAGAGAGGAGCCCTTAAGCAGTAAATTCAACCTCCTTCTGGTTATTTTTCATCCTGAAACCTTGCAGGCAGATAAAAATGCCTGTGGCAAAACCTTCACTCTGACTCACAAGGCAGTGACATAATCTGCTTTTAAGAAATCCTTCCTGGCAACTTGCACAAGTGCACCAAAACCACTAATAGCTACTAAAAATGCAATTTAAAACCAAGGAATACAAATAAAGAAGAATAAAAATGTATGTTTATAAGACAAACAAAAAAAACCAAGGATACTTTTTCCTCTGTGGAAGGAAGCCAGCTTTAAAGTAAATGGTTTGTATAGTCTCAATCTTAAATAGTGTCTGTCTAAATAAGAGATTAAAACAGATTGTGAAATGCAGAGGATAGTCTTACAAAATGACTGGCAAAATGCAGATTTCCTTCTCCAGCCAGCAAATCCTACTGTCCTAAGGTCTGGGCTGGACAGCTGGACTGTGTAGCTCTTCTAGTGCTGCTTGATACAAGCATGCAGAGCAGTTTATGTGGGTGAGGTCTGTTGTAGTGAATGTTTAACGGCTGTTTTATATTTCACATTTGTTAAACCTACAGGTGTGTTTAGAATTTATCCCCCCTTTTAGGTTTTTTTAATTTTAGCTGTTGAGCAGTTCTTCGATTCGTTTTCCTTAAGTGCCAGCTGTTCAAGTACCTTTCACTGGGCTGTGAAAATTTGGGATTTCTGTTGAAGCAGCTCTGAGCGATGAGGGATAAGACGGCACACGGCCTGCGACTGGCGTTTCGGCACACCATGAGGTTCAGAGCCTCACACCTCATGGTCACCGTCAAGTTAAAGGGCTCACAGGAACGTTCTAAGTGAAGTGTCTGGGATTCTGGGCTTGTAGCTGGAAGGTTGCGTGTCCAAATCCCACATGAGAAGCTATTGCTGTTGTACCCCTGAGCGAGGTACCTCACCTGAATTTCTCCAGCAAAATGCCCAGCTGTATGAGTGAGCTCAAATATAAGGTGCTTTGAATGAAAATCAGCTGTATAAATGAGGAACAATGGCCACCTTGCAAAATTATTTTTTTTTGTGTGTGTGCGCGCACATTTCTGTAGGTTACTTGCTCTCTCGGCAAGAAGGACAGGCGGGGTCTCCGGAGAAGCCCCTGTCAGACCTGGGCCGCTTGTCATATCTGGCTTACTGGAAGAGCGTCATATTGGAGTACCTGTACCACCACCGGCACGCCCGGATCAGCATCAAAGGAGTAAGCAGAGCGACGGGGATGTGTCCCCACGACATCGCAACAACCCTGCAGCACCTCAATATGATCGACCAGCAGGACGGCAGGTGAGAGACCCTGTGTTTTTAGAATGGGAAGAATACGTCACGGTGTTTGCAACTGATGAGAGCCATGAATGGTTACTATGTTTGCTTTCGTTCATCTTTTTTTAATCCTCCCCTCCAGTGCGGTCTAAAATTATTTTGCTGTTCCAAGAACTCCAGTGGAGTTACTGAGCTCTAGTGCCACTCTCCTCCTCGACTTCTGATTACTGCCAAAACACAGCAGCTTTCTTAGAAACCCAAAGTGCTTTTCCAAACATCCACTTTTTTCAAATTATATAGCAGGCAGAGAACTTTTTTTTTTCCCCCAGTATTGGGTAAAGAAAAAAGAAAGCGTGCCTTGCGCCTTTTGTTGACTGTGACTTTGTTGTGTGTAGGTTGAGGGTTAAATGACTTTCTATTTTGTATTTGTTTGAAAAGGCTCCAACATCCACTCGAGTGTGTTACTGGAAGCATCTTGTTCTTTTATGCGGGTGCATGATACAGCGAATATCCCAGATCGGCTGATTTTTATAGTCTGAGGAACATTAGAGATGACAACCAAGGGGGAGCTCTTCAGTTAGTAGTTAACTGATCCCAGGACCTCATCCGGCTGTTTTGTGAAACAAGCCAGGGTGTAGGCTGATCAGCTTGTTCCTCACTGGGGTGGCAGAGGAGAGAGGCAGCGGTGTCTCTCTCTGAGGCATCCTGCCCAGTCAGCCCCCCCACCCCCCTTCTCTGTGTGGGAACAGGCAGGGTCTGAATCCGGAACCACAGTCTGTATCAGTACTGTGCCCAAACCGCCAACTCCTTCCCTTTAAACATCAGCTTCTGCGGCAGTGGAGGAAACAGTGGAAGAAGAACCCGTGCCCTCCAGAATGTTTTAAAATGGCCTCCCCCCCCCCCCCTTCTGTGAAGGTTCGTAATTGTCCGAAGGGAGAAGGTGATCCAGAATCACGTGGAGAGGCTGCGGGCCAGACCCCGGCTGAACGAAGTGGATCCGGAATGCCTGCGGTGGACGCCCGTCGTGCCTCCCAGCGCTGCCGTCTCCGAGGAGGAACGGGAAGCGGAACTGGAAGTACGTTCCCCGCCCCCGAGGCTCCGCGGCCTTCCTCGGGTAGAAAACGAATGCGCGGTGCGGTGGGCAGTCAGCTGAGGCGACCTTTAAGGGAGGTGTTTTTTTTCGGCTGGGGCGCGTGCTCGGAAACCCCACGGCGGCTCTGCACGGGTGGTAGGGCTTCCCGCTTCAGCGTGTGATAAAGCGTGTGAGGGGGTGGCGCGAGGACCAGTTCGTGCTGGGAACGACATCGGGGGGGAGTTAAAATGCATGTTGCCCGTGCATAGCCCCTGCGTTTGTGTCCTGTTGGCAATGTGTCGCGTCTGGGCCCTTATTTTGGACAAGCTAACTGTGTGCATTTTTATGTCCCATCCTTATTATACAACAGTGGGCCTTGTCTTAATAGGAGTGGCTTCTGTGTACTTTAGGACTGAAAAATAACCAGCAAAGCCAGTGATTTCTGATCTTGTATCTGAGAACAGCTAATCGCAGTATTAAAGTAATGTACAAAGCCAAAACCTTTGTCTCTGAAGAACATTAATCCATTCAGCTTCGTTGAGACCCACGGAGAAAGTCCTTATACTTTTTCGACTAATATCGAAGCCAGGGATGCATCTGGATATCGGCAGTGGAATTTTATTGCTTTGTGAAAAGTTTGGTAACCGACATGTAGACCTTCCAAAAGTTTGTAACTTCTTTTCTCCCTTCCAAAGATTTGTGAACGTCTTAAAAAGACCAGTAGAGTCTCCCGGAAATAAGGGCAAGATCAAACCGCGTCCCGAGCAGGCTAAAATGCTCAGTGTCAGTATCCATGTAATGCAGTGCAAAACGGCTTGAATACATTCACTACATTATTAATAGTTGTAAATATTCCATGAAATGTAATCTGCTGTGGTTGCTTATCACAACTCGTACTGCGAGACCAACAGCTCATCATGGTGCAATCTCCCAGTTTAACAGGCCTTTAGTGATTATGGGGGGGGATGAAAGTTGAGCTAGATTAATCCAATTTCCATGGGCTTGACAATGTAAATGCTGAGCTTCTGCCTTTTTTTTTCCTTCAGGCTGAGCGCCTCATGGAACGGGCTAGTTGCTGGGAGAAGGAGGAGAAGGAAGCCTACGCCGTCGCGCACACCGGCAGGCAGCAGGCCGCCAAGGTCCCGGGCCGGGCTCCAGGCCGCCAGCCTCCTGGCAGGCCCTCCGCCGCCTCCGAGTGGCCGGCGCCGGAGACCGAAGAAGGCAGCGAGGAGGAAGACGAGGAGGACGAGGACGAGGGCGGCGATGCTGCGCCTCCCATACTGACAAAAGCACACAGCGTGCTTGGCTTTAAGAGGAAGGTGAGCAGAAACGTGCCCAGGGGCCTGGGGTAGAATCGCCAGAGAAATCGCCTTCAGAGACGCAGGATTGGTTGCTTTACCGAGTCCACCATAATGTTTCAAAGCAGGACTGTATATCCATACGATACACCTTATACTTTAAACTACTATACTAACGTACACAAAACTGGAACTGGTTAGCTTAAATGTTCTAGAATTTTCTTTCTAGAATTAGCTTTTTTTAACAGACATGTTTCTGTTACCCGTTTGTTGGTGAATGTTTTGTTTCATGGCATCTGAAATTTGCATTGCCCACGGTGAACTCGAGTCTGCATCTTTTCTGTACAGAGGCAGACTGTGCCTTTTACAAGTCCTCTCCTTCACTGGAATAGCAGTCCAGCTCCTGGTGTCACCAGGCCACGGCTCTGCAGGCATTAGGTGGAACTTCACATCCTCAATAGATAAAGACTTACAATCGCGAACGCTAAATGGTAATCCAGATTAACCAAATCTATATATTGATCCAGTTAAATCTGTGGGAGCTCAGATGGAATGAAACTGTGTGTGACCCCTGTGACTGACTCTCCTGGAGCAGGAGTGAGTCTAGGTGCTATAAAATGGACAATAGTTGAGATCTGGGTACGGTATGTTAGAGAGCAGGTGGAAGACACCAGGCTGAGTATCATCTGAAACTGGCCAGTAGGCTTCCCAGAACCTAATGCTGCACAATTCGCATAGAAACTCCTGAGTATAAAAAGTGTTTGAGAAAACAAGGTCTCTGATAGGGTCTAAGCATTTATCTGTGGAGTTTTCATATTCATTTGTGGTTTTAATCTTTCACACTTCATTGTTTCAGTATGTCAGTGCACATCAAGGTCTTTCCACGTGATTGACATTATGGAAATATTTTTGAAACATCGTAAAATCCTGTTACAGTAATTTTAAAGTTTCACTAAAGTGGACTGTAATATACCAGTTGATGTTTAAAGTTAAAATTACTTACTTCATATAGGAGTAATTTGTACATGTATATCACAAAGTTAATAGTGCAATACCAATTGTTTTGCTATACATTTAAATACAAATGCTTTTGCGGTAGTTTTATTACACCACACCTGTGGAACTCATGTTGAAACCTCCAGATTTGTCGCAGCTTTTGCAGCTTGGAGAAATTGAATATTCTGCTTCAGAAAACAATCATTTTAAACTTTGAAATCTTTAGAAAATGTTCATTTTCTTCTCCCGGAGCCAAGCAGATGCTGATTGCTGGTCACTGTTCTGTTTTTTTGTGTCGAAAGTTAGTGATTTTCTAGGGCTGTCACGGAATTCTGCATCCAAATGTGATTTCAGCATTGATTTCTGTGAAATCTATGAGGCTGTGACGGGCTGTTTTTTCAGACTGAATATTGTGCAGTCAGAATAGAAAACTATATTGGAAACATAATCAAAATACTCTTGCTTAAGTTAGACTTCATGTTATTTCAATTTTATTAAAGTAAGAGCGACTTATAAATGCCAAGTTACTGTTGTGGGAGTCTGATACCAGCTACACATTTGTGTTAAAGCTGCAACCATTGCTTATTTTAAGAAATGTCTGTTTGAGAAGCTTGGTAAGTCCACTAGTGACCAAACAAGTTAGTCAAATCACCTCACCTCATCTCATTTGTCACCTTTTACATGGTCTCATTGTGATATTAAGTTTTTTTTTATGGAGTGAAAACGGTCCCTATTAAGAGACGGCACGTGCAAGGCCGTGTTTAATCAGTTCCCATTTGAAAACCATGGCTTTGGTGCCATCAAACTCATTGCGCCTCATGTTAAGATGGGATTTTTCACGGCAACCAAGCAGTAGTCGCATACGTGTTTCAAGTTTGTGTGCTGCTGTGGATCTGGTAAGGCCCTGAGATCTTTAGACAGGTAGATTTCTGCTGCGGTTCTCTCTAAACCGCCGTGTAGCTGTTTCTTCAGAAATGTCACAGTGCTGGCAGCTCTGAGCAGATGGAAAGTGGATGAGGGAAATGTGGTTCAAGCAAATGGATGAAGTGATTGTGTGGTGCTGCCCTGCCCTCTTGTGATGAAAAAGAATATCGCTGCTAGTTCTCACTCTTTTATTAAATCGAATCATCAGTGTTTTTTAATGTGGAATTTGGAGATCAGATATGCAGCAATTTGTAAATTCGGCTTCACAGATTTAAATGCCATCTTCTGTTAGAGAAGGAGTCTGATTCTTTCCTTATCGAACGTCCGCCCTCCCTCATGCAGTTTTGCTCAATTGTCATTTGCTTTATTTAGTGTTAGTTTTTAAAGTTTTTTTTTTTGAAGGCCTAGAAGAGAGCAGTTCTTTTCTGGCTCTCAAGCCACATGCGGTTGTGGCTTTGGTCAGAAAACCGTCACGTGGTTATGGGGCTGCAGGCGCAAGGCTCACCCTGACTGTGGTTTGTGTTTCTGGTTTCAGAGGGCCCCTGTCCCCAAGAGGAAGAGAGGGCGAAAGCGCCGCAGGGTCAACGGCAGCGTCACCACGGAGACCATCTCCGAGACCACGGAGGTCCTGGACGAGCCCTTCGAGAACTCGGACGAGGAGCGGCCCATGCCCCTCCTGGAGCCCACCTGCGAGGTGGCCGAGGAGCAGCCTGTGAGGAAGGCGGCCCTGCGCCGCCGCAGCAGCTGGCAGAGGGGTGGGAAAGCTGAGGAGAGCGACGACCGTGGATACAGAACGGATCCTGGAGAGGAGAAGATGAAAGGTGACGTTCAAATCGCCACTGTCGCCGTGGGTGCTCTTTCTTTATCGCGTTACACCAGGATCCACAACCCCGGTCCTTGGGAGAAGTGTTGAATCAGTCTGACTTAAATCAGTTTTACCTGTTTCTTTTGGCAAATAGATCTAAGTTTTTAAAGCCAGACATGAAAATATCTGTGCTGAAATCTTAAGTAAATATTTGTGGTACCTGCAAATGAAGACATCTCAAAGGTGAATCAGGATATAGCAGTGTGTTTTAAATATATCCAACATCTGTCTCCTACACTTCATTACAAGTCATTATTGTACAGGAATGGTGCAGTGGATGGCAATGCATGACGGCACAGCCCTCGTTCCTGCAGAGGCGCCACTTCACATAAGTTTTTATGTAGTAGATAGGTCTTTCTCACGTGCAAGCTCTGTTTGGCCAAGCAGGCTAGGAAGAGAAAAATGTGTCCTTCTCATATGAGAAAACACTAGGTTTGCTGACCCGTCTCTTTCTTTGTAGGCTCTAGAGGGCTGGTGCAAAAGGAAGACAGTCCTCAGCCCGTGAAGCGTAAGAAGGGCTGGCCGAAAGGGGTGAAGCGTGGGCCCCCCAAGTGGAGACTCAAGAAGGAGAGAAAGATGGGGTTCAAGCTGAACCTCTACACGCCCCCAGAAACCCCGATGGAGGCGGACCACCAGATTCTGGCAGAAGAAACCAAGGAAGCCCAGGACAAGACTCCCCCCATAACAGAGGAGGAGAGCGAGCCCTGCAAAGAGATGGAGCCACTGGACACAGACCTCGAGAAGCTGCTCGCCGAGTCGCAGAGTCCCGAAGAGCTGCTCCCGAAGAAGCAGGAAGACTTTTTCGATAAGCTGGGCTCTCCAGAAGACGCCTACAGCCACGACGAAGGCCATGAAGACCCTGACCACGCGGACGACGACCACGAGGAAAGTGAAAACGCAGTTGAGGAGCAGCAGTGCGCTGAGCGTGCGGAAGAGCATGAGGAAGATGACGACGAAGAGGAGGAGCCTGTGCATAATGAGGATCACGATGCAGATGATGAAGATGATGGCCATGTAGATTCCACTGAGCTGGAAAAGGAGGAGAGCAGCGTGGAGACGTTGAAAGTGCAGGTCGAGTTTCAAGAAACTTTTTTAGATGCGAATGCTTCGAATGGTGAAGCAGAAAACCACAGTGACCAAGCTGTGAACTGTAGCGCAGATCTTCCTGCTGAACTAGACGGCAAGATCCAGGAAAACGAGGCTGACTCAGATCACCTGCCAGATTCCGAGTCGGATGACGAAAATCACAATGACCTGGACCACAAGGAAGGTGATTCCTTCAGCCCTGTGATAAAGGAGGATCACACAGTTTGTGCAGAAATTGACTCTGAAACAGTGCAGGCAGTGCAGTCCCTCACCCAGGAAAACGAGCAGGAGAACAGTTTCCAGGATTGTGTGGAAACGCAAGAAGCCTGCAGGAGCTTACAAAGCTATGCCCATGCTGACCAAAGTCCTCAGATGACCACGATTGATGACTGTCCGCAGTCAGATCACAGCAGTCCCATGTCATCGATCCATTCTCACCCCAGTCAGTCTGTTCGCTCTGTGAACAGCCCAGCCGTTTCCGTTTTGGAGAACAGCTACACACAGATCAGCCCTGATCAGAGTGCTATTTCAGTGCCGTCTTTACAGAACATGGAAACTAGTCCAATGATGGATGTCCCTTCCGTCTCCGACCATTCACAGCAGGTTGTAGACAGTGGATTTAGCGATCTTGGCAGTATTGAGAGCACAACAGAAAACTACGAAAACCCTAGCAGCTACGATTCCACATTGGGTGGAAGCATTTGTGGAAATAACTCGTCCCAGAATAGCTGCTCGTACAGCAACATCTCTTCCAGCAGCCTCTCGCAGAGCAGCTGTGCCGTGACGCAGCAGATGGCCAGCATTAATGGTAGCTGCAGCATGATTCAAAACAGTATTAACTCTCCGCAGAACTGCAGCGTCAAATCCCCCCAGGGGTGTGTGGTCGAGAGACCCCCTAGCAACAGCCAGCAGCAGCTGCCGCCGTGCGGCATGGCCACCAACTTCGCATCGCCCATGCAGCTGGCCGACATCCCGGAATCCGGCAACCCGAATCTCGGGATATACGAAAGGATGAGCCAGGGTGACTACGGAGGCGGGCATTATTCGCAGCCATCGGCGACGTTCAGCCTAGCGAAGCTCCAGCAGTTAACCAACACCCTCATGGACCATCCCTTGCCTTACAATCATTCGGCTTCGGTCACGTCCTATGCAAACAGCGTGTCCCTGTCTTCGCCGCTCAGCAGCACGGGCCTGGTGTCTTTATCCCAGTCTCCTCACCAAGTGCCGGGGGGACCCCAGGCACAGTCCACGATGACGCCCCCGCCCAACCTGACGCCCCCGCCGATGAACCTGCCCCCTCCTCTCCTGCAGCGCAACATGGCGGCCCCCAACATCGGGATCCCGCCCTCCCAGAGGCTGCAGACGCAGATGCCCGGCAAGAGCCACCTCGCGATGCGGTCGAAGTCGGCCCCGCTGCCCCACCACCAGCAGCAGATGTACGGGCGGGCTCCGCAGTCCGTGGCCATGCAGGCGCCCACCAGGACGATCGCCGTGCCGCGGATGAACATGGGCGTGAATCTCATGCCTGCCCCCGCTTACAATGTGAACTCCATGAACATGAATCCCCTCAATGCAATGAATGGCTACCGAATGACCCAGCCGATGATGAACAGCAGCTACCATGGCAACCACGCGTACATGAACCAGTCCCCCCAGTACTCTATGCAGATGGGAATGATGGGAACACAGCCATACTCCCAGCAGCCCATGCAGGGCCCGCCGCACAGCAACATGATGTACAGCCCGGCGGGCCACCATGGCTACATGAATACGAGCATGTCCAAGCAGTCTCTGAACGGCCCTTTCATGAGACGTTAATCGGGTGGCGTTCCTCGCGAGTTCGAAGTGCATATCCCTCTTGTAATGCACAGCTATGCCTGGAGCCCCGTTTTCTTTTTTCAAATTTTGTCCGTTTTAGAAAACCAGCACTTGGTATGAATGAATGCAACCTTTTGTTTTTTTTTTGTTTTTTTTTTGATGGCCTAATTCAGAGCTTTGTTCTGGTTTTTGTTTTGTTTTTTTTAAATGGGAAGCCTTACGTCATGTCGTAAAAGAAAATAAATGAAGATTTACTTTTGGGATTTTGCGTTCTTATCCTTTTAAATGAGTGCAGCCTGCGATGCAGAGCTGTAGTGAAGGGAGGCTTCACACTGCAGTGGGGTTGCAGCCTGTATGTTGGAGCCATTTAATGTGCCTCTGCTACAAATGTAATGTTTGGATGTTGGAGCCTTTTAAGTGTACCTGTCCAGCAGTACTGAAGTTTAGTTTATGTTCCATACTTATGCCTTTATATATTTAAATTATTGTAAATTTGTTTTATTTTTTGTAAGGTGACACTTAGCATGCTATGATGTCTTTGTTAGTGACAGTGCATTAAGTAGTACTGTACAAGTGTTGTGCTTAATAGCAAGCCATTTTCAAAACTTATGGCCTTGATTAGGTTTCCCTGCAAGGGGAGGAAGATTAAACTATATTTTTGTTAATTCTAATACTGTAAAAAAATTGTAAACTTAGTCTCGTTTCAGTTGTTCAGTTTGAAAGGTTTTATTGCTAATTGTGTATAATTGAGTACCTTTTGTAACAAATTTCCTTGAAGGAGGCAGCTTTTCTGTTTTATAATGCAAACTGATTACTGTCTACATAATGAAGCATATCTCAGTGTTTGTACCCATACAATTCTAAAGCATTTCCAAGAACAAAGTCCAGAAATGTGGAGGAATTAAAAAATAAAAACGTAAATTTAGTCCAAAGTTGCTATTTTATGAAAATGCCTTTAAACTTACATTTTCATTCCATCTGTAGATTTTTTTGTATCTTTATAAAATGTTGGATTTATATTTTACAAAAAAGCGTAGAGCAGTAGCCTGTGAATAGACCAAACTAAGCTAACAGATCGCATGTAAAAAGCAAAATTGTATTTGTCTGTTTATATTGCTTTTTTGTAGCCTTTGTACCTGTACAGAGTGACTGGTTAGGGATGAGAGGGGACATGGATATGTGTACAAAAATAGAAAAGAATGACAGTCTTGTATTTATGAGTTATCTTTTTAGTCAGTCACTTAAAAAATGCTGTACATTTTAGCATAAAATAAATTATGATGAGCCATTATTGGACTGCCCTTATTTGTAATCTGGCTTCTTTCTGAAGAAACATTATGAACGTTTCTGCATTGCTTTGACAGTTTGGAATCTTCATTCACAAGTAAAAGTGCACAAAATCATCGTAATCGTGAATTGCAATTGCACAGCCATCAAGCACGTCAAACACGTAGTAGTTTGTGCACGACGGCATTTTGGTTACGTGATGTTCCAGCAGTCTAGATTGGTGCTGCCAACACATTCATCCCTTCAGCCTGTGACCATTCTCCTGGGAGCTGCTTGAAAATGTTCTAAAACTTTTTCACGAGACATAATTGGATAAGAAGCATTTAATCCAATTCTGGCCATACTTTTTTTTTTGCCATTATCTATGCATACTTCCTTCCGGTCTTTGTTTTCAGAGTATAAAGCCCATAAAAATAGACACCCTTCTGTAAAAATGATGGAAAATGAAGTTGTCATTTTCCTTGCTCATCGTTTTCTCCGTTCGAGGCTGCGCCTTCTTTTAATTTTTTCCTCTGAAGCTGGAGATCGATGTCGAGCTGCCTGAGCTGTTTCAAAAACCCACGGTTGGGCAAAATGCACCTGTGCTCGATGACGTGATTAACGGCGTCCACAATGGTCATGTTCTTGTAGATCATCAGGTAGGCCAGGAAGAGCGTGGCTGAGCGACTTCTCCCCATGACACAGTGCACCAAGAGCTTGTCTGGAAGAGAAGGACAAGGCAGGCTTACATGTGGGTGTGTGTTGGCACAGCTCTGTTGCTCCCGCTATTTCGATTTCCGACGCGGTTAAACTGGAAATGAAATCCCAGTTTGAATAACAATCCTTCACGATCAAGCAGGTAAGAAAATGCTGAGCTGCCCAGCTATGGAAATGTCATTACCTCTGTGCAAAAAGCAGGTCTTCATCATCCCTAGCCATGTTTACCTTCATTGCATCTGCATTCCACACGGCTGCATTTCCAGACGTGGAAAGATAATCATATTCTTATTTCTGTCTTACTTTCGGGTCTGCTAAGAGCGCCGTCGATGAACTTTGCTGCGGGGTAGAAGAATTCGCTGAGGTTGAAACTCGGAAGGTCATCGGCTTCGACGCCGTAGTATTCGATGTTCATGTCGCTGTAATACTCGGGTCCTGTGCTGATGTTCCACTTGCCGGCGGCCGCATTCAGGATGTGCGTCATGCCCATCTTCTCCAAGGTGTACCTGTCCAGGGCCGTCTTCCTGCAGGGAATATCCACACACCTGTTCAATGCCTCATCTTCTGCCTCGACATTAACTTTGTGCTGAAAAACGTAACACAACCTCTTTATACTGACACTTGGTTGATCACCAAAAATAGTTTCCAACGGAGTTTAATTTCATTACCAAACTCTGTAATGAATAGGAATGGATTTGGCAGCCATTCTTAAGGTACGGTTTCATGCCTTTCATCGCGCTGAGTTAAAAAGCAGTGAAATGAAACTCGGGATCTAGCCAAGGCTTTGTAGTGTTAGAAACTGCCTAATATTCCATTCCTACTTCCAACTACTCCATGCTATTCCTGAAGACATTCTTAAGATCAAACAGCGTGAAAAGACGTTTTGCATAGGGAAGAAAAAGCACATAAGGGTGAGTTGGAATCTTTTAGCATTAGAATTACCTAAAGCTTGGGAAATTCTTATTGAATTATCCAGGGTTGGGCAAATGATTGTTTCACCTTTATTGAAAATGTTTCTAAATGAGTGAGATGCACATTGAAAAGCTGAGGAATGTGTCCGAGCCTGAAAGACCAAGCTCAAAGCTCAGCATCCAGGACCATAGTGGGAGTGGGACTTGACAGGGGAACCACACCAATACCCCTCGGCACCCTTGAAGAAGCTGAAGCACGAGCAGGTCCTGATGGAGCGTTTTAAGAAAAACTGGGAGAGGGCTTGGGATCTCCTGAACTGAAAAAAGAATGGCAGTGGGGTTCCACTTCCTAGCCCTGTGGTCTATCTCGTGGAAGAGCCCCTTCCCAAGACTCCCCGTGATCGCTGTTGCTCGCTGCTAGGCAGTCTGGGTAAGCTGGGTGTTATTACTCCTCAGTAAGTGTGGCGCAGATGGGCTGCCTGCGAGGCATGCTCGCACTCTAGGGAGAAACACACTCCTTTGTCCAAAAGAGGTTGTGGCAGTGTCTCTATCTCCCTCCGCTTTTACTGGGAACGGTAGTGAGCCGCGGCCAAGAGATTCCTCCTGCCGTCCTCGGGGTTTTAATCCTCCTCAGTCAAGATGGGATCGGAGTGGTGCTTCTCGCCTTACCCGGGCTCTCCACTTACTCGTCCCCGATGTAGACGCCGGGCCACACCTCGTTGACGTGCGTGTACGCCGCTGAGCCGTGCCAGAACAGCCTCTCCAGCTCGAAGGCTCCGGGGGTGGCGTAGTCGCTCTCGGGGTCCACCTGGACGGCGGTGTACGCGTTCTTTTTCTGAGCCCGCGAGCCGTGCGAAGCCATTTCTCTACAGAGGCCCAGGGCTCTGCTCTGCTCTCTCCCCTTCTTTTCCTTCTCTTCTTTAAGCCTTACCTAGAAGGGAGAGTTCATATTAAAACCTTTTTAACAAAATAACTTTTGGGAGACCATGCAGGCAACATTTAGTAAGGCATTGGTCCTGCTTTCCAAGACAAGTCAGTGTCTTGGAAACTTACGGGGCGGAGCGGTGGCTCTGTGGCTCAGGATCTGCGCCTGTGACTGGAAGGTTGCCGGTTCAAATCCCGTGGCTGGCGGAGGAATCCTACTCCGTTGGGCCCCTGAGCAAGGCCCTTAACCCCAACTGCTCCAGGGGCGCCGTACAATGGTCGACCCTGCACTCTGACCCGAAGCTTCTCTCCCTGTCTGTGTGTCTGTGTCTCTATGGAGAAAAGACGAATTCCTAATGCAAGAAATTGTACAGGGCTAATAAAGAAACGTTACGTTATAAGTTTTTATAATCTTGTTTCCATGTTGTAAATAGTGCACATCCTCAGGGTACTGGACCTAAATAACTGCCTTTTATTAACAAACTACAATAGTTCATATTCATTAGTTTTACCCGTGATCTTAATTTTCATTGAATTTTTTTTCAGGCATTGCTTGGCTGTATTTTAGACTTAAACAACTGTACCTACTATGAATAACTATGCTACAATGAACAATAACGTCACCAGAGACATTTCAAGGTGAAAGAAGCTTAGGAAAATTAAGAAGGGCCATTGGAAATGGCAAAAGGGCTTTAATGTTCACAAAAGTGAAAATACAAGAGTAAAACCACAATTCAGGTTCACACTACGTGACTAAAATGTTTTGCGATTACAGCAAGATGAAGTACAAGAAATATTTTAAATAAATCTAAATAAGTCTTTAATCTGATTTAAAATCACAATTTGTTTTTCAACTCTAGTGTTAAAAAGTCAGAATTTTAAGATGGGAGTAACTAAACTACTTTTGTGTCTTTCCCCTTATTTTAATTTAAAAATGACTCTCTTCAGGTCTTCCTTACCTTCAGCCTGTTCTGTCAGACAGCACTCGCCACATGCTGCTGTGAAAAGCCAACTGGAAACGATGCAGTCTGAACGGTCCTGGTGCCGGACACTGAATGTAATGATATTTTTAGGGCGTTGATCTATGGGCTTTGACCTTTGCTATGTGTTCCCATCCTTGCATGGAGAATCCCCACATGTGCCAAGTCTTCACATACCGAGCCCCTGAAATCCTACCCTGACTCCAGCTACGGCTCTCTGTGGCACTGACCCTGTGCTGTCAGCTCTACAGGAATAGTAGAGGGTTGTTTATCCATGGAAGGTTAGGTCTGGTTACTGAAACAGTTCTGGACTTATTGTTAAGGTCTTGAATCTACTATCTGCTGATACTTGGGGTGAAGGGACGATTGCTGCACGAAGGTGTAGAATGGTGTTCTGGGTGCCACAGGATTAAAGATGACTGAAGTCACTGGGGTTTTTGCTGCAGGCCTCCAGCCTCTCAGACTGAAATGCTGACTCATTCTCCTGCTCCGACTGGGGCTTGCGGTGTCACTGGCTGGTGACCACCTGGCGTGAGTGGAGCTGTGTGGATTGCTTTGTAACAGCAGCTCCTGCTGGAGGCAGGGGGGAAGCCATGTCTGTGGCAGGATAAACCAGAATGGCACCAAGAGTAAAGCTGCCTTGACAGCGTTGGTGTTTACAGGACTGAGAACCTGTGGGCACTGCCAGGACTGGTGCTGGAGTCCCCCCATGGAGAGGTCCAGGACGGGGGCGCCTCAGCTGTGCCTCGTTCCTCGTGTGACCAGCACAGCTCTGCCCCTCGGGGCTTGAGCGTGGCTTCTCGCAAGGGGCACCTCCGGCACCAGGGCCGTGCGGCACATCTTCCACAAGGGCAGAGAGGTCAGGGCCGGGCCTCCTGCCATGGGAAACCTCGGCACTACCCAGGTTCCAAGGAGGTGACATCATCTTCTGTGACGTAATCAGTTACCCTCCTTCAGCGCTGTTATACCCACCCCAGAAGTACAGCACCCACATGGGTTCTGCACCAGCAGATCAGGGGGAGGAGTGAGCAATTACTTCCCCAGTTGAATTAAGGGGGGGAACTTCACGGTGGCTTGATTGTACAAGAGTGGAATTTAGGCAGGACACTGTGGGGTTATTAACATCCCTACTCTTAAAATGCCATGTGATCTTAAATGAACAAGCAGCTGGGACCTCAGTTTGTCTCGTGCAGAGGACAGTGCCTCTTGCAACACAATGTACTGTACCAGCTCACCATGCTGGTGCACACATGGAAGAGCACCAGCTCGTGATCCATCAACACTTACAGCAGCAGCCCACTTTTCCTTAGAGGTCTCCCATCCCCATACTGACCCAGACCAGCCCAGCCCAGCCCTGCATAGCTCCTGAGATCTGACGAAGCCAGGGCCAGGATTCAAGGTGGTAACACTGGTTTCTGTGAGTATCTCTCAAAGCCCAGGGTTGGCTAGGCAGGCACAGCACATCTCATCTTTTGTAGTGCATAGTGCAGCCCTTCTGCCAAAGATCTTAAATGGACAATGTTCTGCTAATGAACGTTTCTTGCAATTACAATCACCAGGTACAGGTTGAGAATCCCTTATCCGAAATTCCTGGGACCGAAAGTGTTGCGGATTTCGGAATATTTTTATATTTGCATCTATAAAATGGGACAGCTTGGGGATGGGACCCAGGTCTAAACACGATATCCATTTACATTTCAGAATATAGCTTATACATATACCCTGAATGTAGCTTTATATACATTTTTAAGATTTTTTTTTAACATAATACCATCAGAAAGGTAAAATATCAGTCTCCACCTACGATGTCATGTTTTGATTAAATAGTTATAGTACACATACGCCATTTGTATTTTATTTTTTACGATACAAATATTGTTTTATGTAAGGTATAAAAACAAAGCATTGAATATGATTACAGGTAAATAAAATGAAAACTGAAAAAACTCAGCATTTTATTTTTAAAGTAATGTACAAGTAATGACGCTAGTCAAGTTATACTCATACATGGAGGTGAAATTCAGATCTCATGTAAAAATAACGTTTTGAATTTACTGTACAAAAAAACAAAACAAAACATGATGATCACTGCTTACAAACTTGAAGATAAATGCAGCCCCAGACATTACAACTACATCAGGTCCGAGAAACATGAGGGAGACGGTACGTCATCGATGACATCACTGTGAGCTGGAAAGTTTCGGTTTTTGGACTTTGGAATTTTGGATAAAGGATTTTCAACCTGTAATAAGAAGTCAATAATTACTGTATTTCTAGTAAATCCTTAATGCAGGAGCAGAGCTGTCTGGTCCTGGTCCTGGTCCTGAAGGACTGGTGTGTCTGCAGGTGAAGGTTCAGGAGCTGGAAGAAGCTGTTAAGCCAGGTAGCAGGTGGTTTAGCTTGTTAGGAGCAGCATTGGGCTGAAAACACATGAACAGACAGACCTTCCAGGATCCAGACTGGACAGCCCTGCTCTACAGACATCTGACTTGCAGCAGAGCAGAGTAACTCAGGATGACCAACTCCTTTAAATAGGTGAGGTTTGCAATATGAGGTACTGTATATTGTACTTCTTCTGTTGAGATAAAGACAAACCTAGTAACATGGAACTGATGAACTGATGATGGTAACAGCACTCACTGTGCAGTATGTACAGTATTGTGCATAAAGGTATGGTATGTGAAAATTAAACGTGATGGTGGTGTAACAAATAATCTTTCATTTGCTTTTCTCCATGCTCTACTAAGACGAAGTGTGACAAAGAAATCATTACACTCGTGATACCGAATTCTTTTTATCATCATGGCAGGTTCTTTTATTACTGTGCTCATAGGATTTCCATTTTTGTACAAAATCACTTCATCCTGATTTCTAGCTATTCTTGGTGAAAGCCCTATTTATCTCTATAAAACCTAAGTTCTTTTTCACACATGCTCTCTAATACCTTGATTGTGAAATGACAATCTTTCAATGGCACTCTCTATGGTGTCTTTGTATAGGTTGCTGATATGATTTTGAGCTTGATCACTGGATGAATGCTGTCCCACTGCCAAGATGGGAACAAGCTGTACAATTCAACTCCCATCCTTGAACGACTATATTATATTGTGCAGTACAGGGCAAGGCAAAATACATCTTTAATGTTTCAATAGTGATTTTAGAAAAAAGCTAAATGAAAAAGCCCTGTTAATTTAGTAAATAAAATGACTCATACTAACACTGAAAAATCCACAAGAAGATTCTCTAAATAGCCTGTACACCCTCTGTATATACTGTAACTTAATGGATAGAAAGTGGTATTACAGAATGTGTGTGTTAATCTACTGCATTGGTATATTTTAGAAGGAAATACATTGTTTACACATTTTCACTGCAATCCAGTGTGTAATGTGTGTGGAGGAATTTAAAAGGATAAAAAAATAAAAGCAAAACGACTAAGGCAAGTTATTTAAAGTTTTACAGCTACAGCTATGCTGGAGTTTTGTGCACAATTGAACCCTCCTGTAAAAACAACTTTAAACAGTTCTTGCTCCAAGGCTGTTAAAAAAAACTCAGCTAAGATCATACGCATATTTCGCTGGTTCAGCAGAAAGAAAGCCCGTTCAGAGTTTGTACAGCGCTGCCTTTCTCTTCCTCTCCAGCATCAGGGCGAGGTCCAGCTCTCTCAGTTGGCTCAGGAATCCCGAGTTTGGGCAAACGTCTCTGTGCTTGCGGACAGTCTTGATGGCATCGACCAGAGTGAGGTTCTCGCAGATCATCAGGAAAGCCAGTACCAGTGCTGCAGAGCGGCTGATTCCCATTGCACAGTGGACAAACACTCTACCTGCAGGAAATACAGAGATCTAGTTTCGATTGATTGATTGATTGATTGATTGATTGATTGATTGATTGATTGGCTGGCTGGCAGCTTTAGATCACTCCTTTTGATTCGCTGACTGACTGGCTGACTGATTATTGATTGGCTTCCAGCTTTAGAGCATTCATTTTGATTGATTGATCGATTGATCAATTGATCGATCAACCGATTGACTGACTGACTGATTGATTGATTGATTGATTGATTGATTGGTTGATTGATTGATTGATTGATTGGCTGGCTGGCTGGCAGCTTTAGATCACTCCTTTTGATTCGCTGACTGACTGGCTGACTGATTATTGATTGGCTTGCAGCTTTAGAGCATTCATTTTGATTGATTGATCGATTGATCGATCGATCGATTGACTGACTGACTGACTGATTGATTGATTGGTTGATTGATTGGTTGATTGATTGGCTGGCTGGATGGCTGGCTGGCTGGCAGGCAGCTTTACAGCTTAAACATGCTACAAGCACTAAAGAGTGGGACCAGCCCAAGCACATGAGTCCTGACCATACGATTTTAGGACAAGACCTTGCTGCACACTTTTTCAACAATGGGCATGTGATTAACCTTTCTCACAGTTACTACTGTTAGCACTCCTGCATGAGATCAACCTATGGTACAAACAGAAGTCACAGATATCTGAGCAAAAGTCAAAATACCACGGGCACCTCTCTTGTAGTCCTCCAGACATGTTACTCACACTTGCCTTTCTGCGAAAGGGCCGACCGTATGAATCTGGCCGTGGGGTAAAAGAAGAGGCTGAGATCGAACTCTGGGTGATCATCGGCCTCCACCCCATAATACAGTACCGGCATGTCGCTGTAGAAACGGGCGCCTGTGTTCACATGGTAGCGCCCGTCTGCAGCGTTCACGATGTGGGTGATTCCCAGGTTAAACAGAGCGCCTTTGTCCCGAGCCGTGTACCTTAAATTTCATTTTAAACAAAGTAAAAAGAAAAGGTTCGATGTCTTTTTTCATTATTGTTATTGCTACTACTTTTTAAATAGCCTTTTCTTTAAAACTTATGGCATTTAATAATCGTTGTAAATAATGATAACTTAAAGAAGTTATGCAAAGTCTTTCTTAATAATGTTATAATAATGTTTCTCCTATAAGAACATCTTTAACATGGGGGAGATGTGACTATTTTTTCCTTTAAATTTCTCTCTCCTCTTTAGCTGCACTCCTCGCCTGCCTCACTATTTTCTCTTAACATTTAAATCTCTTAATATTTTTCTTAATCTGTTGTGTTTTCGTGGATAAAACGGAAATGTGTAACATCCGGTGTTGTTTTCTTTCTCTAGTCACTGCAATACAATATTTGCAGGTTCAGCAATAAAAAGCTTGATCGTGCAGAGAGTTCGGTCCTGTTTAAGGCTGGTTCTGAGCCACTCTCTTGGTGTGCAGTTACTGTCCTGGCACTGGTATCAATCTGCCCATCCCAGCTGGCTGCTGGAACTATTTTTTCCAGACACCTGTGTACCCAGATGTAATGGGAACATAACACTCTTCTTCAACATTTTTTACACACAAGCAACTTATTGCTAAATTATCTACTGTAAGGTATGTAGTACTGTACATACGAATCTCCGATATAGAGATTAGGCCAGACTTCATTGACATGTCCGGTGGAATGCCTGTTCATCCACAGGAGGTTCTGCAGTTCTGAAAGAGGCGGAGGTTCGTACTCGCCCTTGCTTGCCACAACTTCCTTCTCTTTTTTCAAGGCCATCCTGAAAGCAACGTGGCTCTTGAACGGGCTGGCGCGGTGCTTGTCCAGAAGCAGTCCTTGGTGTCGGACAAACCACGCTGTCAGCGCTAGCACCGGCTGCCTCTCGCCCAGCAGGGGGAGCTGAGCTGTCTTCGCTTTGTAGGAGCAAACGCCGCCTTTCAGCCGTTTCCGCGATATTCCCAGTGAAACTGCGGCGAGAACAACATCGGCATGACCGCTGTAACCTTCACTGGTCACAATATTCGCAGCGCACAGGGCGGAGAGCAGAGACCTGCCTAGCTTTTGCGAACTACCACGTCTGAGAGAATCAGTCACCGTGATTGCGCCTCGCTGAAGTTTCAGGAGACAGAAGGTGTGCCCGGTGCTCACAGCTCATACTGGCCGGGAGTCGAGACCGGTGTTCTTAGCCCTGGCGGCACTGTCATTAGTAGATAACAGAGTGGTGAGGCCCGCCTGCTACATCATGAGACGGTTTTGCAGCAGACTGCACGTTAGGATATTGATGCATCACTGAGAGGAGCAAACGCAGGACCCTGAGCCGAAAGAGGGCACTGGAAGGAAAGTTAGAAGGTCTTTTTGTGGGAAGCGCTAAGCCCTCTTAAGAGCTTCTGCGCCATCTGGGAAAGAGATGTATAATTAGGATTCCCCTTTCAGCGGTGCCTAGTAAACGCTTTAAAACATGCTCTACACAAGCTGGTGAAAAACATTTTGTCCCAGGCGTGGTGCCTGCCGATTCTACCCTAAAAATCAAGGTGTTTGGAGCTGACCCCTTCGCAGCCGTCCTAGTTACTGTACGGTCAAATCCCGTTTATGTCCAAAAGGACTTAAATCAGTGTTTTAACATGGAAAATTAAGAGACCTGTAAAAAGCATTATGATTAGTCTGTGGACCCATAATGTTCACGTTTAGCTGAATTATTTATGAATTCCAATACTAAATTACAGTAACCTAAAGTGTCAGTATTAAAATAAGACAAGGGTATGTATTTTGTACACACCTTCTGCTCAGCTTTAGATAGAATTAAGTGTTACTCCCTTTAAAGCTAGTTTTTTTTTTCCTGGCAGGTTTCTGAGACACGGTGACTCTACAAGCCTCATGACTTTGTGAACTTACTTTTGACTGCTGATTTCTTCTCGTCTTTTTTTACAGGGCGTGTCCTCGGGCTTTTCCCTTACCTCGGAGAAGTCACATTGAACTCCAAGCTGCCTCGCTTCCTTTTTAAATTCAGCGATATTTGTAAATCTCCAAGCTGTAACGGCGTTTTCCCGGGCTTGGCGAGCAGCCGCAGCGCCCAGAGGCAGGCACAGACACGGTTTGTTTCTCGTTGTTGTCGCTGCAGCTGTCTCCTCGCACCCGAGACCGGGAGCGCCTGCCCGGGTAGGCGGCAGGTGCGGAGACGATCTACACGGAGCCCCGCTGTGTCGCAGAACTCGCCGCCGCCAGAGGTGACGCAACTGAGCCGAGAATAAACAGCGTTTTGTGGCGAATGCGGTGCCAACTAAAACTTTGAGGCTGTGGAGGTTCATACAGTAAGGAGAGTAACCGGATACTTTAATTTAGTTCTTGGAAGTTGAGCAATTGAGGTCTTGGAAACCACTGTGATGTCTCTTCAGTCCAAACAATGGACACTTTCTAAGGCATAAGAAGCACGCTGCATTGCAATAAAATGTTAACAAAGCACAATTTAAATGTGATTTATTGGTGTGTGCATAAACGATATTCTACATGATACACGAGACGAGTTTTAAAGGACTATAAAAAGCGAGTACAAAGTCATTATGCAGCAGTTATTGAAAGCATATTGAAAGATATGGAATTTCGTCTTAGGGAGTAGCTATGCATGACATACGACACACCCTGGTGAGCGGAATACTATTCACACTGAAGACAACGTACACTAGTTGTCTGCATGCTGTTGTTTTGAAGGGGTTTCCTGGGAAGTATTCACAACTTCACAGGACAAGGTGAACAGGAAATTCACAGGTGCCAGTGTTTTCGCTGATTAATTAGCACTTTACTCTCTGGAAGTGAGAGAGAGAGGAATTTTTCATCATGTTTTTTATTTATAGGCTTTAACCATTATACACCAAACTGTAGCTTCACCTGATTGCCTAATCTGAATAACCTGTTAATACGCACGAAGACCTGTGCATGAACTCTGTGCCAGTCAATGACTTTAAGCTCTGGCGAACTGAAGTCAAAATGACAGAATAATCAGTTCATGCACGTGGGGTAATCTGATCCTGTACGGTGGAGATTTTTTTAGTTCAAGTTCTTGGTACATTGTGATTTATTCTCCCAGTTTAAGGCCACTGTGACTGCCTTTCTGCACTCTTGCTTCTGCCTTCATTGTGCTGTGTGTCGAGAGCGCAGAATGGCAGCCCCTTCCTGTAGCCCCACAGCACAGCGTGTGGTCTGTGCGTCTCAGAATCGGCCCGTTCTTGGCTCTCTCTCGCTGGCCAGCCTCATGTCCAGCTCTCGCAGCTGGCTCAAGAAGCCCGAGTTGGGGGAGACATTCCTGTGCTCGCTGACCGCCTTGATGGCCTCCACCAGGCTCATGTCCTCATGGAGCATCAGGAAGGCCAGGACCAGCGTGGCAGACCGACTCAGTCCCATTGCGCAGTGGACAAACACTTTACCTGCAAGAAAGCGAGTGGGGGGGGAAAAAGTGGATCGCAAATTACCGACTTCTGGAACATCCATCGTGTTTCTTGAACCCCTCTGTTCCTACATGCCCAGGATGAAAGCCATGACTGCAGCTCCAGTGGCTTGGTCAGGGAGGGCAGATGGAGTCCTAGAGTCCAGACGGCGGCAGTCACAGCACAGGCTGTGTCATTAGACCTCTGTGGCCAGGTTTCCTGAGGTGGGGCTGCACAAGCACTTCAGGGGCTCAGTAGGCTACCTGGTTTGCTTTCTGGGTGGAGCCAGGGCAACCGCAACCTGCAATTCCCCAGGCGCCAGTAAAGGGGGTCTCTCTGACAGCCCTGCACACCTCCTCGAGCACTGAGACAATGTGGACTCTGAGCGTCGGTGAGTCTGACTGTGCAGATTTCAGAGGAAAGCGCGAACGTCCCTCATCCCTCCCACAAAGGTCTATGAGGGAAAGCCCAGCTGATTAACAGCTCAAAAATGTTGAAGCATAAAAAGAAAATCAAAAGGTTATTTTTATAAAAATAAAGAATATCGCTGCCTAAAGCAGAAACGTAGTTAGTTCACAGAGTTCCTGTCATCACCCCTATTGAGAAACAGGACACATCACACAAAGGCACTGAAGTCAACCACCAAAAGTGCCACTACCAAGAGCTGTTTCCAGACAGCACAGGATTGGCAAAAGAGGCTTGCGGGCCAGTGAAAACTGGAGACTAAACAGGGAGCAGATCTGTAGACATTGTACCCCTACAGCAGAAAGACAGAAGCATTCCTCAGAATGGTTCTGAGCCAGGTGCATCTCTTACATTATTCTGTAGTGTATTCATGTAGTGCCCTCTGCAGACCAAATGCTGATCTGCAGTATTCCATGCACAAGTCTCTCCAGGACAGTAACATTCATATTCCCAGATTACACCTACCAGGTAAGAGACCTTAGGGCACTTCTTAGAAATCTGTTTGATAGTTGTAATAATTTGATAGTAGACATGTTCAAGTAGGTCAAGTAGTCAGCATGCGTATAGGTGCAAAGGACCAAGTAATAGGTTTATTCCATGCTGAAAAGAGAAGAAAGGAAACACAATGTTTTGTCTGACCCACACACCCGAAGAAGGCAAATGCTGTGTCCTTTCTTCTCTTTTCAGCATGGAAAAACCCTTTACATGTTACATTGTGAACACTGTAAAATTAGCACTTTGTGCTTTTTTTTGAAAATTCACTTAACTGACCTGTTACACTTTTCTGTTTAAAAATTATATTTAGGCACCTCATTTCATGAAGTAATTGCTAAAAGCCATGATTTTAATAGCACATCATTCAAAACCCATTTGTTGTTATCCTTCCTGAGGATTATCACAGACTCAGGAGGCAGGATGATAAAGTGTCTTTTAAAATGCATGTTTCTGATCCGGATTATCAAGTGCTTAGTGCAGAATTGTGCAGCTTTCCTGTGTGCAGTGGAAACTAAGGGCAACCCACAAAAGAAATGTTCGGATTGAAACTAATTAAGAAATACTAAATACTGCAACAAAAATAAAGATAAAACTATAAATAAAATAATTTTTTGAGGCTAACAGAAATTGAATTGTTAAAGACCAACTACTTTTTAATTCAAATTCACACATTAACAACCAAGCAGAATCTATGTGGAACTGCATTTTAAACTGAGAACATGAGACATGTCTTTGCCCAAAGATTTGTGGGAGTAGGGAACAAGCTACCCAGCCATATTATAAAAGCAGACACCCTGGTTTCTTTCAAGAAACATGGATGAGATCCTGGGATCAATTAGCCAGTAACTACTAACCAGGTCAGATGAGCTGCATGGCCTCTTTTGTTACCTTCTTATTTAGGTTGTCAAACAGGAAGGTGAGAGAATAGGCCCCTGAGCAGAAAGAAAGGGGATAATACAGGACAGTATGTGTATTCTAAAATGTACTTGGTTTGAAAAGCTCAGAACTCATCAAGTATGTGTACTGTTACTCCAAAGCAGATTTAAACTCCGATATTTTAAACCAATTTACCTGGCTTTTCCAACTTATTTTGATCTTCTTATCTGCCTTTTGCCTTTAATTGTCAAACTGCCGAGGTCACAATTAGAGCAGCTTTCACTCCGAGGTTGCTGTTAACGCAGAAAGCTAACGCTGTGTGTAACACTGTCACGGCACTGATATCTGACATAAGAAATTCACAGTAACCCCGACGGCGTGTGAGCAACCACAACAAGCAAGCACCGCGAACAAACACGTCTAGAAACGGGGAAGTAAACACTCGTGTTTAACTGTAACAAGTAAACAAGGTTTGTTCCATGCTGAAAAGAGAAAAAAGAACGTTTCGGCCGAAACGTTGTGTTTCCTTTCTTCTCTTTCCAGCATGGAATAAATCCTATTACTTGTTCCTTTGCAAACTACACATGCCGAAGCAGCTACCTGTCTGAACTACTGGTGTTTAAATGTTGCTTTTCCTCTTGGTGCAGGTCGGGTAGCGGTGAAACCTCACCTCCGGGGGTACTCACGGCAGCCTTGATGAACTGAGCCGCGGAGTAGAAGAACGGACTCATGTCAAACGCCGGGCTGTCAAACGCCTCCACCCCGTGGTAGGTGACCTTTGTGTCGCTGTAGTAGCTCGGTCCCGTGCAGACGTTGTGCTTTCCGTGAGCAGCGTTCAGGATGTGCGTGATGCCGAGTGACTGAAGGGCCCTCTTATCTTTGGCGGCCCACCTGACAAAATGCATATTGACTGTACATACTGCACTGCACGTGTGATTCATTCAGGGAGAGAGAAGGGTCTGATACAACTGTCAAATGGCTGGCTTAAAAATATAACTGAGGAATTATTGAACAAATACTGGTCTTATCAAAATTCTGTCCTTGAAGAGTACGTTCAACAGACATTCAAAATATATTTTCACGCTTCAGTAATTGACTGGTATCATAAACAGGATGAAAACATTGAAAAATACTATTCAGTCTTTTGAGTTTCTCAAAAAAAGACCCATGAGTTACAAATTGTGTTAATAGTCATATAAAATACCATCCATTCTTGTTTATCCTGTCGAGTGTTTTGGGCAGCACTGATAGAGGATCAGTGTAGTTGATATTCTGTCTATACATTGTTAGGAAGCTGATTATTTCCGGACAAGAATCGTGGTGACCCAGAGCCTATCCCAAAAACACAGGTCACTCCAGGTGGTGGATGGATGGATAAAGAGGATGTTTGCTGTGTTGGATACGTGTTGACTCTCACTGCAGGTCTGCCTCATGCAGCACTGTGAGCCCAACTCGATCTTGCTCCCCGCAGAAAGCCTTTCATACAAAGATCTGCCATGAGCTCTACAATCGGCCTTCGCCTCTTCTTCCCTGAGCGCCATGGTAATTCACCACAGCAGATACCATAACGTACAGCATTGTGCAAAACATTTGGGATCTTTCAATGAAATAGGTACTTTTTATTGTTTAAAGTGTTGTTTTTTGTCTCTAGATATTTCTAAATGTTTATTAAACTGAGTAAATGTATTAAATTCTGTTTATTGAAACAATATGTTTTTGCTTCAGCTGCAGGAGTTTCCACACCTCATGTCCCGTCACAGTGCATGAATCTGATGTTTGCCCCATTTTCCCTGGTTTCTCTCTGCAGCCGGATGATTCGGTATGACCCCTGTAGTGCCAAACCACTGTGGTGGCTATTCAAGCACATCTGGTGCACCAGTGTGGCATCATTTACTGTAGGCGGTTGTAATTCAGGTGGGTAGCTGTGTCAGCATGCGTAGGCTGCAAAGGAACAAGTAATAGGTTTATTCCATGCTGAAATAAACCAATATACACAAGGTTATGTGTTCTCTTTCTTCTTTTTTTTTCAGCATGGAATAAACCTATTACTTGATCATTTACTGTAGATTAGCAGCTTGGTTTGGATTGTTACTGTGTTGGAAGAATCCAGGCTGAAATCCTACAATAGCCTGAGCGTATGTGAAGTACTGTCGTTTATATAAGTTATTTATTTATCAATCCATCCATCATTTTTCTATTACAGGGAGTAGCAGGGGAGCTGGAGTCAATTCTGGCAAGCGACAGGCACAGGTTGGGGTACACCCTGGACACCGGCCCATTGTAGGGCACACACAAACACAAACGCACACACACTCACACCCCCTGACCACTGCGCCACTGTTCTGCCCGCTATTCATTTCTGTATACGCCAAGGTATAAAACAGCAAAGATTTCAATAGTAAATCCCCAGAATTCCTCAGAATTCATTACACAACACGGCTCAGGAGTGTGGCAGGACTGAGCACACTGAGGTCGTTTCTCCTTTTCTTACGCGTCTCCAAGGTAGACCTTTGGCCAGACCTGGTCCACGTGTCCACTGACCCCACCTCGCACCCAAAGGAGCCTCTGGAGTTCGGGCACAGTGGGGGTGTGGTGTCCCCCAGGCCCCCGCTGGCCACATCCTGCACTGCCAGGCATCCCTGTTTCTGGGCGGGAGTCCAGACCCCACTGGACTTTGGGCTCTGATCAACAGAGAAGAACCTCAGTCAATTCCAAGCTCCTCCAAGCTCCAGTCATCGTACTGCGAAGTGGTCTCAACTTAAATTGACATTTGCAAAAGCAGATGTGCAAAGGAAACACCTTGAAATTTCATTCACATACTTAGACCATAGAATTATCCTGCCCAAATAATGTGTTGAGACAGTTGCAAAAGAGGAAGGACTGATTTTTAGAGATGTCCTCAGCTGTGGTGTTGAGTCAAGGTTATGTGAGCGTGCGGAAGCCTTGTATGACAGCTGAAGTCTGAACACCGTGAAGTTCAGGATCCACTTTTGAAGCTTCCTCAAGGCACTACTAAGTTGGAGGAACCAGATAAGATTAGCAGCATCCATTTATCCAGGATGAAAGACTCAATATACAGATAGCCAGCAATTCACCTGTATATCAAGGGTGTGCATGGGACTGAGAATAAAGGATCCATATCAAATCCACTCCACCACGGTTGAAATTGTAGTATTGAGTGGCGTGCTGTTTCTGAACACCAAACAAATGAGCTACAGCACATCCGTTGCATCTGGATGTGTCTTTGAAATTGTCTGTATTCTTACATCTCATCCCACAGATTTCACACAGAGAGGGAGAACACCCCCTGCTGCCTGCCTGGATTGTATTGCACAGGGTTCATCTCTCTGAGTGCATGAATCATGTGCCTCACAGCAGCGTTCTGAGATGAGATGGCAGTGCCAGTCTGCGTCTGCTGTAGCCATTTCTTTCTCCAGCCATGTCAAAGCTAGCTAGTTCCTTTCATGCAGTTAGTCACTTTGCTATTGTCTGTCAGAATAATAGGTGGGTAAGAACTTCTACCTCCATTGCTCCTTTTTAAGGAAACGTTAGTTTCTTAATGTAGATTTTCTCAGTTATTCCCCAGGCTGAAGGGTCATGTTCTTACAGAACAGCCCATTCTATAAGAACGTGTATTTTGGTACAGACACCAAAAAACGTTATTCAGCTCCAGTGCACAGTTCAGCTGCAGGGAAGCTTACAGACATTGGCGTCTGCCAAGAATTATATTGGAGACAGAGTGTGTCTGTGGCTAAATTTGGTGTAGCTCACAGAGCATGTGTCAGCATCTGTTTGATAGCTTCATCCATCTCTCTGTCACTTTTGCTAAAGAAGAAACGCTCCAAACACAAAGCAGGTTGGCTACTTCAGCCTAGAGGCATGCTGAACACATGGTATTCCTTATTGCACCGATCTATCACACACTATTATCTTTTCACCCTATTTTGTAGAAAACGATTCTAGGTGAGTCCCCAGTTCCCCGCCTTGCTGCCTTCAGGGTCTTCCTCTACGCCGTTGAGGGGTTGCCAGTGTTTTCCTGGAAGAAAGGAAGATGCCGTCTTGATTTCCTAGGAGCAACAGGGCACCTGGTACACAGTTTCTTCTTTCTGCAGCACAGGAGCTTCTGCTGGAAACACGCGGCCCTTCCTGTGGACGCTGTTTAATGAAATCTGTTGCCTGTGAAGGCGGTTGTGATTAAAGCAGAGAGCTCAGGTCGCACAGACATCAGTATTACTGCTGGTGGAAGCCAGGTAGCCAACTGTTCTCAACTTTCCCTTCTTTTCCAAGATTAAACAACACAGGGCAACCGAAAAATTGCAATATGGAATACGATACAATATGAAATTACTTCATTCAAGCAGTATAAATTCCAGCATGAGTTTACACTCGTACTTGCCTTGGTTGTTGCTTGAAGTGATCCCTAATAAACTGGGAGCAGCAGAATTCGGTTTCACTGCAGAGCTTTGCAGTGTTCATAAAAACAGTACATTAGAAAAAAGACCGTGGAGTGCGATCTGCCCGCCGGCCTTTTCTATTTTAATATCTGACGCTGGACGCTAGCATGTCCTGGCAACAACAGTGAGATTCCTCCGGAGCTGCATAGCGTTACAGGCTCCCACTCAGAGGAAGGGCGATTTACACGGATCAAAACCGAATAAAACGCACGATCTATGAAATTATTTAGACTGAGAAGGTCTTTCAAAGATAGCGTCATCTTCTTTCCAAAACCATTTCTTTGTGAGAGAAATTGCTTGATTTATTGTATTTGCAAGTATATATATGCAGCCAATGTAAAAGCAATTGCTGAAACACTGAAAAAATAAACCATGAAGTATCATGTGTATGGCTGGTTAGGTAAGTAAACTGCACTTTAATTATAATGAAAGACACTGTACATCGTTTGCATTTCAAAACACGATAAAAAAGAGACTTTATTTATTACTGTTGTTACGTTATAAGGGTATTTAGACATTCCCAACCATAATGGAACTTTGGCTTTGTCTAGGATCGCAGTGACAAGCCGATTGTCTTCTATAACTTGTAGTACTCCGATGCTACCAACAGA